GAGAAGTAAAGGCAAGAGTAGTTAGCATTACAAGTTCTAGACAGGGAACCAGAAAAAAGAACAGGGCAAATTTCAAATGTTCAAATTAAAGTTCATTGGAATTCCTTGATGAGAGCTTCCAGAAGCATCCATTATTGGGTTCCTCCTCGTTTTTCTTTTGTCTGCCAATGCTGCACACAAGAGTGATGGACTCAGAATTTATCAGGCACTTTGATAACTGTTGGAGTGGCTAGAATCAGTGTCAGTTCCCTCTCAAAGGCTTCTAGATAGGGAGAGAAAACAAATTTAGCCATCATTTTAGGCCAATAGTGGGTTGTCTCACTCAGCTGCATGTGGGCACTACATTATTCCACACCAAGATTTGAAGTCTTACATCTGAGTAGCACTGTCTTATTAGGAACACAATCATCAGTGAGAGATAATTGTCTAAATAACATAAGAACTTAAGTCTAGTATCTGGGAAATACAATCCCTTGAACTCTTAAAGAAATATATTGATCATTTTAATCTTTGGTTATACCTACCTTTTGGGTGTTTAAGAGCATACAGTTGGCCCAGATAAACTAATTTACTTTTACTGTAGGTTGTTTGGGGATCTGTTCCTCAGGGGGTCCCATGGGCTTGGGAGGAGACCCTTAGGCCTTTCTTTTACCAGTTCCATCTATGTTAAGTCAAAGGTCCTGCTTGACCATGGCTGGCTTCACTCCTCTTTGTAGACTGGACACTGTTTCAGGTCCATCTAGTGGCGTCTCCACGGCCTCCCTGAACAAGAGGACAGGTGACTTACCACCATTACAGGACATTTTGAGAGATGCTCCACAGTCCCCTGGAACTTACGTGACCTTGGAGGGTAAGGAACAAGAACTGTCCTTTAAGTCTCTCTGACCAGATTAGTATATACCTCAAAGTATGGCTGTTAAACACCCAAGAAGGTTAGTTACACCAATCTGGTACTTTTAATTACCATGTGCTATGTAGATAAAGCTTGGGCAAAACCCAAACATCCTTAAGTAAATCTTGACTAGATGTATTTTGTTCCTTAGACTAGTTGACTAAGCTATAACCTTAGAAATTTTCAGATTATCTATATATTATCTTTGTGTTATCCTTGTTATACCATAACAAACCTACATAAGCCTTCATCACTTGCTTAGGCGTTCTCATTTTTTCTGTCTATTCTGGAAATATCCAGCCATCATAATTTTCATACATAAATCTGTCTTAATAAAATTTCTCCATTCTCATATCCTTATAACATCTTTTTTATAACATCTTTTTAAATTTTTTTAAATTTATTATTTTTATTTTATATGTATGCATGTATTGCCTGCATGTAGGTTAAATGCACCCAAGTTGTGCAATGCCCGCGGAGGACAGAAGAGGCTGTCGGATCCCCTGGAACTGGAGTTATGGACAGTTGTTAGCTGCAACTAACATCTTTTTCTTTCTTTTTTTTGGTCTTTTTGAAGCAGGGTCTCCCTGTAGCCCCAGCTGTCCTGGAACTTACTATGTAGACCAGGCTGGCCTTGAACTCACAGAGATCAGCCTGCCTCTGCCTCCCAAGTGCTGGGACTACAGGTGTGCGCCACCATGCCCCCTGCAACTAACATCTTTTTAAAAATATTTTATTTATTTTTTATTTTATGAGTATGAGTGTTATGCCTGCATGTAAGTGCACCCATGTTGTGCAATTCCACAGAGGTCAGAAGAGGGTTTCAGATTTCCCTGGAATTGGAGTTAAGGACGGTGGTTCAGAGCTGCCATTTGGGTGCTGGGAATCGAACCCAGGTCCTCTGCAAGAGCAGTCAGTGCTCTTAACTGCTGAGCCATCTCTCCAGCCCCTCCATTTCTTTCTTAATAACCATGAGACATAATAACATTAAGAAATAAATTTTCCATCTGTTGTGATAATTCTCTTCCTGGGGCTACTAAGCAAGGCTTACCTCCTTCTAAAGTTCTAGTGACAAACCAATGTTTGATTACATTAAAGTTTTCCTGGGGAACCAATGAATTTACTGAGTTTACTTACAGAGATTACTGAGGGGTTAGTGAGGTGTATGGGTGACCTGACAGTATTTACACTGGAAAGCCTTTATCCAGCATGGATCAGGCCTTCTCCTCCTAGCCTTCCCCAGATTATATACTTTAGTCCTCCCCAAATCCAAGAGACCATGTGTGATTAGGGCCAAATTACATACAGTTGGCTGGGAAGAGTGGCTAGATACTCAGGTGAGGGTCCAATGACCACACTTACCCCTCCCTAAATGAAAAAAATATTGAGTCAACAAGACCAATTGTGATGATCTTTTGCTAGTAGACACAGCTGAAGTCATGAAGATCGTAAGATGGTAGTTGTTTGACTCAGAAGAGAGTACTGTGCAGCATCATCTTATGAAAAGAACATGGAATCTAAATTACACACATAAGATAATGTGATAAGTTAATATTACCCATGTATACACTGTGCTTTATAAGTTCCCAGGAAAACCTTATAGAAAAAAGGCAGTTAAAAATCTTTTTTACTTTATGTGGTTTAGAGAGTGGTCTACCAAAACCTTGCTTTAGGTAGAAAGAAGCAACTGGCACATAGTTAAACATTATCAAATTGATGTTCACAATTGATTATGCTGGAGGTGGGTTTTTGGTCTTTTTGAGGCAGGGTCTCCCTGTAGTCCCAGCTGGTGGCCTGACACTCACTATGTAGACCAGGCTGGCCTCAAACTTACAGAGATCCACCTGCCTCTGCCTCCCGAGTGCTGGGATTAAAGGCGTGCACCACCATGCCCGGCTCTTCTGTATTATATTAACTTTGTCTTCAAGAAGGTCTCACTTCCTCAACCAAGCCTCTTCAGTGTTTTCTCTTCCCTGCCCTTGGCAGAACCATACCTGGCAGGGTACCCCACCCTCTACTCCCCTGACCCTCAGGACTAACTTCTAGCCTGGCCACTGCCCAGTGTTTAGTTTCTCATCTTCGTGGTCTCCTGTCTCTGAGCCACATGTTCCTGATGTCTTAGCTCACTGTGATTGCTATACCAAAATACCCATGTGTTAGTTATTTCGGTGTCACCATGACAAAATACCTGGAGGTATTTTGCCAGGCATACCCTCTTCTACTGAGTTACATGTCCTGTTCAATCTTTTCTTAAAAATTCTTAAAAATTCTGTGTGTAGATCAATGGAATATCATTGAAGACCCAAACCTAAGTACCTGCAATTTCAGTCACCTGCTATTTGACAAAGGTGTCAAGAACACACAATGGAGAAAAGACAGCATCTTCAACAAATGGTACTGGCAAAACTGGATCTCCACCTGTAGAAGAATGAAACTAGATCCTTATCCTTCACCTTGCTCAAACATTAACTCCAAATGGATTAAAAGCCTCAAACTGTTAGAAGAAGCCTGAAACTGTTAGAAGAAAATATTGGCAGTAACCTACAAGATATAGGTGTAGGAAAGGATTTTCTAACAGAGACAGAAATTGCTCAGGAATTATGATCAGCAATCAATAAGTGGGACCTCATTGAACTAAAAAGCTTCTGTACAGCAATTAAAAGAAACAAGAAAGTGAAGAGAAAACCCACAGAGTGGGAAAAAATCTTCACCAGTGGCACATCTGACAGAGGGTTAACATCCAGACTATATAAAGAACTCAAAAAAAAAATCAAAACAAATGACCCAATTAAAGATAAGCTAAAGCTCTAAAAAGAGCTCTCAAAAGGAAGAAATAAAGATGGCTAAGAAACATCTTAAAAAGTGATCAACATTGTTAGTAATTGGGGAAATGCAAATTAAAACACTTTTTTTTTGGTCTTTTTGAGACAGGGTCCCTCTGTAGCCCCAGCTGGCCTGGAACTCACTATGTAGACCAGGCTAGCCTTGAACTCACAGAGATCTGCCTGCCTCTGCCTCCCAAGTGCTGGGATTAAAGGCATGTACCACCATGCCTGGCTAAAACCACCTTAAGATTTCATCTTACCCCAGTCAGACTGGCTAAGATCAAGAAAAATGATACCATACTGGCAAGGATGTGGAGAAAGGGGACCACTCATTCCCTGCTAGTGGGATTGCAAACTCATGCAACCCCTATGGAAAGCAGTGTGGAGAACTCTTAAAAAACTAAACATGAACCTACCATATGACCTGGTTATACCACTCCTTGGCATATACCCAAAGGACTCATCCTATTGCAGAAATACTTGTACAACCATATTTGTTGTTGCTCTTTTCACAATAGCTAAGAAATGGAAACAACCTAAGCGTCCCTCAACTGACGAGTGGTTAATGAAAATGTGGTAATTTACACAATAGAGTTCTACTCGGCAGTAAAGAAAGATGAAATAATGAAATTTGAAGGTAAATGGATCTAGCAACTGTTATACTAAGTGAAGTAAAACAGACTCAGAAAAACAAAAGATGTATGTTCTCCCTCATTTGTAGCTCCTAGCACCAAATCCTTATAAACAAGTATCCCAGTCATCACCCATCAATGTAGCTTCTTTTTTCAACAGACAGATTATTACAGAGATTATTATGACTGGTCACACACAGAGATTCTCTGTGAATTGCCCAAGCCTAAGTGGCACATCTAGGATGCAACATCTACACCTAAAACTCAGGGAACATAGAATAAGGGATGAAGAGAACACTAATGCATCTTTCAACTCTCATCAGTGAAGCTCCCTCATGCAACAGAGGGCCAGGAACACAAAGGGCCACAAAAATGGCCAAAACACAGAATAAGTCTGCAGAGTGTGGGTCCTTGGACAGGACTCCTATATTAAAATCCATCCCCCCAGGGCTCAGGGACCATTGCAGAAGAGAGGGCAGAAAGATTGTAAGAGCTGAGCTGGGCGTGGTGGCACACACCTT